GTTTTCGATGATGCTGAACAAGATGAGAACATCAAATCAAAAATCTAAATTTTGACGAGTGCTTCGATTTCTCGATGGCCTCATGGGTGCTCTCTTAAAACCTAAGTTTTAACAATCAATACATAATGCTTGTAAAATTCTACTTTCAAAGGTTTTTGAAGTAGATTCACCAACTATGAAGTGTGTTGATGTTGAGTGGCTACGACGAATTCATGTGTAGCACACATGTATCGCTGTGTTGTTCACCGTCGTGGAGTATGTGTCGAAAGTTTTTGATTCGTGGTCATTGTTAACGTGTAATATTTGTGAGCGGAACTTATGGCGGTGGCTTGTGTCACCTACTTTGAGACGAACTAAGTTTTTTTTTTTTTTTCGTTCAGTTTTTCTATGTCCTGCCTTGTGGTTTCCGTTTCTTTTTTTGTTGTAAATGTGTCGAATGTTGTGTTTTTGTGTTTTCAGTTGGGTTCGTATGTTCCTATTCTGTTTTGTATACTTTTTACTTCCTTATAATGTTTTCCAAATTTTTTTATATGTTTTGGTTATCATTGCGGCCATTCGTCTTATGGTGCGTTTCCTCTGTCTTATACTGTATGGGACGTTATGGTTTTTCTGGTTGGAAGATGAATAGTTGTGGAAGTATTCTATTGAGCATTGTGAAAATGAAAAAAACAATATGAGAGATGTTGGTAGGTTATATTTGGTCGCGTTTGGGTCCGTATATTAGATGTGTGAGTCTGGTATGATTGATTTAGCACATTACCGCGGTGCATTGTATATTATGTTTAGTATGTCGTTCGTCTGTTGCGTTTTTGTCGTCTGATGTTTTTTTCTCGGCACGTGTCCCATGTGGTTTATCTGAAATGAAAGGAAAATAATAAGGTTTACTTATAGAGTTTTTTCTGACAGCGTTTTATTTCGTTCATTTTTCAGGTTGTGTACGAAGTTTTTTACAATGTAATTTTTTCACTGGAATATAGCGAAACTTTTACATTATTAAATGAGTTTCTGTATTATGTTGTGCATGCGTTTGTTTAATTGGTGTATGACTCAATAATCGGTTAATTTTTTCTTCTAGTTCATAAGCAAGACGTGTTATTAAATTATTTTCACGTTCATTGATGACATGGATGATTTGCTCAAGCAGAGCAGAATTTCTATGGTTTAATTTTGTTGATTGTAGTTTGGTTTGTTCCATGTTTGCAATGACACTGTAGTGTTTTGCGAATTCTTCGACTTTCTTGAATGTCTGTTGAGCAATTTCTTCGGCTGTGAACGTTTGTCGTTGAAAACTTAGTACTGTAAATATATGGTTGATCGTCGGTAATTGTACACCCTGAGGAGTATAGGATGATTCCTGATCATGAAGTTCATGCCATTTTTTGAATAAAGTCATTTCATTGATAATGTTTTGTTGTTCATGGATGGCTTTCCATATAACTTTTGCTGAACTTATCTAAATGTTCCTATACAGCACTATTATAGGGATAGTTATATATATATGTTTACCTCAGTTTGTTTTGGTTTTAATCCATAAAAGTTTTCAATCAGTCGATGTTCTTCAGCTTCCAGTCGAAGCATTATTTTTCGTCGTTCAAGTTCAGCATGTAATTGATGTTGATCTTCACTGACCAAATCATTGATTATATTGTTAATAATTTCCATATTAATAATGGATGGCACTTGTTTCATATGTTCATAAATAGCTTCTTGATTTTTCTCGAATTGTTGTTTATATTTCTTGAGTTGTTGTTTGATTAAAGTTGTTGATCGACCATATGTGTAACACATAGAATTTGCAACCGCCATTTTTTTCGATACTCGACCGTTCCAAATACCTTCTGTTAAGCCAAGGCTTAGATAATAAGACCATTGTTCATATTGTAATTTCGAATAATTGAATTTATTAAAAAGTTGTGTAAGTTGACGAATCATGACGAATATTTCTTTCTGATTTAAGATGAAAGACAGGTCATCTTGATTCATAACAGTTGATGTTGATTTTAATAATTTTTGTGTAAACTGACTATCGGATAATTTTGAATAATCTGGTAGTAAATACGTTGGATCTGAACTGGTTTCCATATCCATAGAATAACACCAGTTTTGTTGTTCAAACCTTCGGATGTCCAGTAATTTTGAACGCAAACACTTGAATCCATACTCGCATTATGAAAACCAAATTTGTTAGATACATTTTTCTTCTTCAGATGTTGTTGTCGTTTGGTATATTTGTTACGTTTACTTTTGGAAGTTGATTGATTTTCATTGATTTTCTTTTTCATGTTGTGTTGCTGAGATTTTTATTAAAATTTAATGATAATTTATACTGAGGGACTTAGTATAGGATATATAAAATGTGAAGATAGCGTAGTAAAGTTTTTATTCAATATGACACAAAGGTGAAAGGAAAAAAATTAGTGATTATAACATATAGTACATTTTTAAAGGAAAAATATAAAAAAGACAAGATATATGATTTTGATGTCTTTACAGTGTTCATTTGGTATTCATGCCATTACTGACGACATCATTAGGTTTTCGTCCTAAGTTGAAAAGAAAAAAAGATGATATATCTTTGAGAGAGCAAAAGTATATTTTATCTTACTTTTTCTTAATGGATCTTTCAAAACGGATGATGCTGGTCGTTTATGAGAAAGTTCGAATTCAATATTTGGATTATTTCGAAAACCAACCACTAATCTTTTTTCACCATACATAGTGTTTTTGAAATGATTATCATGTATGATATGTATATCCCGTGCTAAACCTTTAAGTCTACCCTCATGTGTTACATGAAGAAATATATTATTTTTGAACTTATCAGATTTTGATTTAATAGTAGCTTCCATAGAGTTATAATTTTGTTGTGTAACATGTCGAGTACTTTGTGTTAATTCCACTGTTGATGCACTGATGGTGAGTTGTGTTTGTTTTGCTGTTGGTTGATTCAGTAATTTTTCACGTAACAGAAAAAATTCATGTTCATCATTAAGCATTGGTAAAATACATGGTGAAGTTCATGACATCCAATCGGCAAAGAATTTTTCGAATTGTTGATTAATATAATTGGATGGATATCTTGAAAACAAAAAACTACCACGCTTTCAGTAAAAGAAGAGCAATGAATTTACCTATTATATAGGAGCATTAAACGAATTGCACGTCGTTCATGATTAAATATATCAAATGTGGATGAATAGCGAATTGCTCGATTGAGAGAAGTTTGAATAACATTTCGAAATACATGTCGTGGATGATCGTAGAGAAAAGATAACACTGTTGATTCAGTCGAAGGTTTATGATACACCGATGATACAAAATTACCATTATTATTTTCAACATAAACATCAAGAAAGGGAGCACATTTACCAATCTTATATTCTAATTCAATATTCGGATGAAAATTATTTGCTGCATCTAATATTTCTTTCACTTTATCTTCCGATTGATTACAAGTAAAGAAGACATCATCAATATATCTAAAATGAAAATAGTGGAATTTTCAAAAATTCAAGTTCTATGAATATAAAAGGCAGGGATGGGCGAGTCCGAGTCAAAACTCGGACTTCAGTCGACTCGAGTCACATTTTTTTAATGACTCGGACTCGACTCGGACTCGGAAATTGGGAAATGTTGACTCGACTGTGTGACTTGAGTCATTCACTCAAAAAGTTTTTCGTTTTCTCTTATACAAAAAATCACAATTTATAAAACTAAAGGAAAAGTGGCGATAAGGCCATTTTCTCGCCCAAAAACGTTCTCAAAAAGAATTACATACTCTGAATCAGCATTAAATTCTGAGTAAAATGAGGTACTGTTTGCTGTCGAAAAACGACTTCGATTTTTCACGGTTCATTGGGCACCTGTAGGGGACCTCAGGACTATCGAAATTTTTTTTTTCAGAATTTTAGTGAATTTAACATCATTCGATGTGAAATTTAATGCTGATTTCGAATTTCAAATTGAAATTTTAAAAAAATAGACCTTTAGTAGGGTGTGGGTGTGGGTGTGGGTGTGGCTTTTCTTTCTCTCTACGCCCACACTCACACCCACACCTACACCCACTCACACCCACACCCACACCCACACCCACCCCCACCCACACCCACACCCACACCCACACCCACACGCACACCGATATTCTGATTCAAACAATACTAGATCTGAAAAAAATCTAAAATTGATTATTCATCAGAGATGTGACCGGTTCAGCTTTGGTTTAGGAATGGACTAATTCCTAAAATTGACTGGAATCGGAATGGAATTTGGTGGAAATTGGTTATTGTAGAATTATTAATTTTGCACATATATAAATAAATGAATAATTCAATTCCAACTTTTCTCACGATTAATTCCAACTACAACTTCAATCCCAATTCCAAGCTAAAAAATCGAACTTGGAATTGATGCATCGCTACTTCGATTCTAAAAAAAGGGAACCAATCTCATTTAAAACTGATGCTCTAATACAGAGTATATCAAAATTATGACCACGGCATAAATGCATATAACTCCACTACTGACCAAGATTAATCAAAAGTTTTTTTCTTATAGGTGACAGTTTATCTTTACTTGATCTTTAAAGTGGAGAAATGTCAAACTTTTTACCTACACATGGAAAATATTGTTTTCTAACTTTACTTTAGTTTTTCAAAGTGAAATAAAGATAAAGTGCCACCCTTATTTTTTTCTATTTGAAAGAGGGGACTGGTAATTTTTCTTTAAAGATCAAGTTCATCAAGACCATGGAAAAGGCAGCACTTTTGATTACAACACAAAAACTAGACTCTTCCCATATCAAAAACAATATGTGCTGTGTTTTATTTGATAGTTATTCGAATTATTCTTGTGATTATTTACTTCAGACCATTTAGATTTTTCATAGTTGCTTTGCAATCATTTGTTTGACACGTTGCAAACAAATTGAATAGCTACGCAAACGAATACGCTAAATCATTTTTTTGCTCATCTATCGATAAAATTGGTTTTTGTGTACTCAAAAAGTGAGTACACTATAGAATCGGTCACTGTGTCCGTCCGTCCGTCCTTCCGTTTACACGATAACTTTTGAAAGGAGAGTTCAATCGCGGTGAAATTTTCTACACAGTTCAGTCTTAACAATATCTCGGTTGAGTTCGAAGATGAGCATGATTGGCCTAGCCGTTCCTGAGTTATTGCAAAAATACTCATTTTTTCCTATGGCTTCCTATGCGAAAATCGACCCATCCCCGCTTTCGTAAAAAACTTTTCCTATCATACTCAAACAAAACCCCAACTATTATATACCATTCGATAGAGAATTTTACGAGCTACAAAATGGTATATAAAACATAAAGA